ATATATTTATCTAGAGAAAACGGTGCTATTGGTATTTTTGAATTTTGCAGACCACTTTAAAAACTGTGAACGGTCTTTAGTGATGAGAAGGGGGGCGTTCACCGTTTGTTCACCAAGTTAAGGAGGCAGATCTTGATGATCTAGGTCAGATTTATATCTAGAACATCTTTTCCAGTCATTTGGAGTTTTAAATTGATTTTCAAATAGTTCAAACGCCTCTTTAATTTATTGCATCGAGACTGAATGAAGTAGTTATGTCCGATTCGTTAACGAATCGTTAGTTGAATCGAATCTTTTCAATGAATCGGTTCGCGATTCTTTCAGAAATCTGCCTGAGCTGTTCTTGAGTGAAAAATAAAAAGGGTATTTAATAGCATTATGACAAAGTTAGTCACATTTAAATAATTATATCTAAATTTAAAACTTTTTTTCAAAAGAAAAATGTACATTTTATTGTTATTTATAAATGCGAATTATATTCAGGGACTAAAGGATCGAAACACATAATTAGAGTAAACACTTTTATTGTAAACAACATTATTATTTTTTTTAGCCAGTGTTATGAATTAAGCATTTAGCAGAAATGACTGCCAAATTTACACCACTTGAATGTGCCAAAAGCCTATATGATTTTGATCTGTATCCCCACAGTTTCCTTTGAGTAATTTTGTAACATGACCCAAAACATTTGCTCTTTCTCTTTGCAGTCACGAGAAACCGGAAACAGAGGAGGTTGTTCAGCTGCAGGAGGGTAAGTAAAAACAAGCATGTGCGGATGCAGTGAGTGATGCATATATCTATATACCACTGTTCGTTTGTGGTGCGTTTCTCAGGAGAGGGGGTGGGAGCGGCGGAGCAGGCAGCGGTTACCATAGGTAGTGTCCAGCAAGCAGCAGCCTTTGCAGACCACAATGTTCAGTACCAGTTCCGGACAGAGAACACTGGTGGACAGGTCAGTGCGACCTTTGACCTTTCCAGGGTTCAAACTGGGGTGACTCTGTAATAAAACATGACCTGGAGTACTGTCTCAGTAACAGATCTTATGAGAATGCTTTTATGAACATTTTCACTTCATGCTATATCAAAAGAAGAGAAATTCAGTAAAATGACTTCTTAAAATCTGTGTGTGAGCCTTGTGATGGACTGGCCATTCATGCAGGGATTTTCCTTGCCTGTGGCTCAAGACACTGAGTTAGGCTCCATTATTAGGCAACTCTAATAAGGACAAAAAGGTTTGGATTATAGAATGGATGGATGGACTTCTGAAAAGATTTATTTAAAGATACAGCTCACAACTTGGAGGCATTTTTAAAATTATTTAAAAATTTCAGAACAAAATAAAGTTGACCTTACAGAACTGGGCTAATAGTACTCAACATCCCACTTACAAATGTTGCGGGGAAGTACAGTTTCATAAAACTTCAATGGCCAATTTTCATAAACGACCTATTTAAAATTTTCAGAACAAAATAAAAAATGTTTGGTCTAAAATTAATTAAATATAATCTAGAATTACAGTAAAATTATACTTTATAATCAAAAGAAGGGGTGAGCCACTGGCTCAAATTACCCCACTCTTAACAAACTTGTATCATCCAGCAGTTTAGAGATAACATCACGCTACATTACTATAGCCTCATATTATAACTTTCTAAAGCACAAACACAAACACACAAAAAGCAAAAAGAGTCCTTGAAAATAAAATGATCACTTTGAACAGCAAAAAAAAACAGTTTTTTTAACCTAAATGTAGTTACAAATTATTCCATGGGCCTCTCTCCATCACAGGGTTAGTAAAATGGTTAACTCCTCAAATATGTGTGGTCATATCACCAATCTTGTTTATGGTTGTCTCGAAACAAGGGGTGGCTCAACTTCCCCACAGGCTCAAATCACCCCGCTCTCCCCTATAGGCATTATTTTAGCTAACTTATATTCTAGTATGTATCATCAACTGTTCATTATAATTCGATTCCTGATAGATAAAATCAAGTGCAATCCTGCTTTTTTCTTTACTGTTGAATATCCTGTTTCATTCAGAAATGTCAAACTATGAAACTAGGTTTCAAATGGGAATTCATGTTTGCTTTAATGCATTTTTGTTATTTAATTCCGCATAGTTAGATTATGCAACTTAAAGATACAAAACATTTTTACAAAATGCACCTTTGTGTTCTGACCTGATACAGGTGACATATCGTGTGGTCCAGGTAACAGAGGACCATTTGGAAGCAGCAGGAGATGGAGGAGCGGCAGTCAGTGTAGTGTCCACAGCTGCCTTTGCGAGCGCACAGCAAGCAGTAGCACAGGTGTGTATGGAACAGACTGGATGAAAGCATGGAGTAAAGCAATAAATGAATGCAGTGTCAAATTTGCCTGCACGTCTCTCATATTTCTGTATCTATCTTTCTATAGGCTGTCATCCAGAACCCTTTCAGTAATGGAGGCAGTCCAGTGGGGGAAACAGTGGGGGGAGAGACACGCTTTGCCTACTTCCCAGCAGCAACTGTCAGTGACGGTACAGCTGTCTCAGTGCAGGCCACGTCTGATCCGACCCTCACACAGGCTGGAGGTCAGTTTCACATGCCAAAGTCCAAAAACAGTGTTTGCCATCAGTGCTTATTGAAATAACCTATTTTACCGGTTTACATGTAAATCAATAACCTGGCAATGCAAGTAAGCTGCATTTAGAAGAATTGTATATGAGTTGTGATGGTAAATTAAGCATTAAAACCAACAGAGTACTCAAATGTCAGTGGGAAACATGCACAGTTTTTATGACTGTACCACTTGTCCTATGGCTGCACGAAATGAGAACATTTTAAATTTTTTTAAAATAATTTCTTGGGTCAGTAATGATTAAGAATTTGCAATATGTTTCCTCCTCACCACCGCAAAACACTCACTGTGGCTGGACGCACTTAAATCTGCCGTATGGATGCTTTCCGGTCACAGATTACACATGCTATAAACAAACAGAATGCAGGTTAAGGTGTTTACATGCCGGGAGAAATTTTGGTAATGTGCAAAATTCTATGAATCTGTGTCATTTGGTTTATGTTTAAGCCGTGTATGACCTTATGAAAAAATAAACCAAATCGGTTTAACACGCATGACCACTAGGGTTGTGACGGTGAGGAAATTTTCCCACCGGTTAATCGACGTATGACAACACCGGTAATACCGGTATCACTGCGGGTGCGGGGCGTTCCCTCTTTTCCTCGCTTTCCTTCTCTTTTAAATAGCTTGTAAAAGTGGTGTGCTTCACTTTCAATAGCGGCAATTCGAAGTAAAGCAATTGTTCGTTTGAATTTTCCCTCTTTTCCTCGCTTTCCTTCGCTTTTAAATAGCTTAAAAGCGGCGTGCGCATTTTACTTTCACT